TTGATTCCAACTATTTAAGCGACGGGCTATTCAGAACTCTCAAAAGTATGTGGAGAAAGTGAAAACTGAAAAAAAAAATTTTCACCGAGGGCCACAGGGTCAGATTTTCGGTTTTTACANATTCAGCTCGATCGGTTGAGCGGTTGAGGTTCTTGAGATATAGCGATTCCTCAAAAATCATTTTTTACCGATATCTCCTTAACCATGAGACGGATTAAAATTTTCTTTTTCAAAATACTCGTCATGATGATACCTATTCAATTGGATCGAAAAAAGACCGTTCCACCCCGAGCAATGTAGTTTCATCCTCGTTTTTTCGTTTTTTCACTGCAATTGCTTGAATGCATGATAACTTAAAAAATAATTGAGACAGAAACTTGAAACTTGGTATGATTTGAGGTCTTATGTTAACAAAGCTTGGGATTGTAGATGAACGGAATCGGACCATTAGTTTCGGAGATATTCAATTTTGTATGTGAAACTCTTTTGGTGAATATCTCAAAAACTGCTGATCCGATTTCATTTCTTTTTTTTCCAAAATGTCCGTCTTGATCTCATCTATCTAGATCTAATGAAATACGTCTACCATCCCATTGAAAAGTTTAGAGATGTTTACGTTTTTCAATTTTTTTGGTTGGAATTCACTTTTGCGCATTATGACATAGGTAAAACTCAGGGAAACCTTTTGAAACTTTGGCTTATAGTTAGGATTGTCACTCAAGAAAATGATAGAAATTTCCAGGAAAGTCAACGAGTGTCCAGGAAAATTGAGGGAATTGATGGTAATCCTTGTGTTCATTTAAAAAAAAAGATAGATTGAGATCCATTCGGAAGCCTACTACCAATGAGATTGGTAGAAATGAAAATAGGACAAAAAAATACGTAGCAGTAGTATGTAATCTGTCAAAAGGTTTCTGTCGTGCTGCTTGTTTCCCCCTAAATAGCATTCATTGTCACTGAATAAATGAATGATTTATTTAGTCAATTATATTTTTCTTTTCAACTGAGTTGTCCACTGGATGGGTTGAACATCCTTAAGACTTCTTGAAGACAATATTTTCTATAGAGCGAAGTAAGAAGTTCTTATTTTTCACTCGAATGATTTGATAAAAATTAATAGACATGTAAGAAACAAAACAACAGTGCTTTGTATGAATTTTAACAAATAAATATGACAAGATTCATTCATCGCGCATCGCATAAACCTGATACATCGACATTTCTTAATCTGAAAAACCATGAGATCCTGTTTTTGCATACAAAAGCCTCTCGCTAATATATCACGTTCCATCGTATCACCGCGTACAGATCAAAACAGGCACGCGCGTGCGTGTGAGACATTTATGTTTGTCTGACCATATTCAATGTGGCTTCGGCAAACACACCATATCCATCCCACCGGAAAGAAATGTTCAGGAGGGAAAAAAAAAAAATTGAGAAATGAGGGGGAATGAGAAAGGCAGAACGAAATATTTGACGCGAGTGTCCTTGCAACGCATGTATCTCGAGACCTGAATTCATAAGGATGGAATTTAAAATGAGGCTGAATTGAATTCCAGGAACAAAGATCGATCGGCGAAAAAAAGTAAAAAAAAAACAAATCTTTGCGATACTTGGGGCGATCGATCATGCGGAAATAATTGCATGTAAAGTAGTCAGTGGGGAGATTAAACCTTCGAGTTGTTGGTACAGTGATGTAAAAAATTCAAACACAAAACCTGGAGAACATTTGAGGTGGATGCATTGTGCAGGAGGGGAAACAAGAAAATGACCAACTTGGTGTTGAGGAGGAGGTCGGTGTTCGTCACAAGGTGTAATAGACTTGACCGGAAATTGCGAATTCTAAGTCCTCGGATTCTGTGGCACTACTATTAATATTTCCCAGAATGTTGAGGATCTGGTATTTTTATTCATCGCTTGAGAATATCCGAGTAGTTCGGGACACTTTTTCCGGGGGAAATTCTTTTCAGAGTTTCTGGAATAGACGAGGAGTATTTTTTTAGGGGTAATATCAACTTTAGTTTCCCTTGACAATATTGGCTTCCGGATGGATGCCGCGTTTGGTTTAAGTATTGCGCCGACGTTTCGCAAACATTGCAGTCTGCGTCGTTAGGGAGATCCGATCAATTAGCCCCTCATGTATAGATATTCAAAATTTTTATTTTTTTCCTCATTTAAGTAGTTTTGAAGAAAACTGCGAGCTAATAAAAAACATTTGCTACTTAGTACTTTTTTTAAAATAAATTTTTGAAAAATCACCTCTGAAAAAAAAGGCGTTATCCCCTCTATTTCATTATTTCCAAAAAATTTTATGACCAATCGATAGCAAATTGTTTGAAGATTTTTGCGAGTTAAGAAAAAATCGTCAATGCAATCCTATTATTGTGTAAATTAACAATTCCAATTTCAACTGAAAACCAGAGTTGATGACCAGAGTTTGTAACAGAGATGTCAGACAAGATATGAATGTTTTTTTTGGCTCAAATG